AAATACAAATACAAATACAAATGGAAGGCTGAGTCAACCTTGAGCCTGGTGAGATTCGATCTGCCAAAATGCTGGCAGCAGTGATTAGCAGAAGTAACCTGCAGTATTGCACTTTAACCACTGTACCACTGTGGCTCAAATTATGACCATAAGTTGTTGTCTTGAGAACTCATTGCATCCACTTGACTGGAAGTAATTTTTTTTTGTGTGTGGCAGTCATTAGACAAACCCTGCAGTTGTTAAGTAAACCCATTTATTTGAATGGATGGGGTTTATTTTTGCAAAACATGCAGCAAACTGGCCAGAATCATTGTAAATTGCAGTCATGTGATGGTGAAAATTAATAAGTGTTCCTGAAGCTGACTCGCCCGCTCCCGACATGTAGTCATACGGGTGGGGATAGCATGCTCATTTAAAGTGGCCAGGATTGCTTCACTGGCTCTAAAACACTCATTCCATTGCTGTCACAACTTTAAATCGGGGGTCATCAACCCTTCGGACCTCAGGGACCGCTAAATTCATAATTTTAAATCCTGTGGACCACTAATATGAATTAGTGAGGGGATGAGGTCCTTCAGGCACTTAGCTTGGCCACCTTTTAGTGGAGAGAAGGGCCCAGGGTCAACCCCAGGTTTGACCCATTGCAGCTAGGAATCTCAAATACAGCAAAGAATGAATCTTTGTCTTGTAGGCAGCCGGGGCACTAGATTGGTCCCCTGCAAACTCTGCCTTTTGAGGAGCTCGGTTGAAGTTTCACACACCTCTCACTGAAGTGCCTGGACTCCCAGGGAAGGAGGTAGGGAATGCCTGGAGCTACTAAACAGGCAGCCAACTAAGTGCCTGAAGGACCCCATCCCTTCAGTGAGCGGGAGTAATTGCTTCGGCAGTCCGTATCTGGCCCAGGGGCATAGTTTGAGGATCCCTAATTTAGTGCAATATAAAAAATGCATAAATGCAACAATTTTTCTGCAGACCACCAACATTTTCGCACGGACCACCAGTTGGTGACCACTGCTTTGAACAGTTGCGAAACAAGGACTACTTTCATGAGCTGTACACCATAATCATCACAATTATGACAAATCACGGCTTGAACTATCNCCCGCAGAGATCCGGACCCTTCCCACTCTCGCGGCCTTCCAAAAAGCCACCAAAACCTGGCTGTTCCGGCAGGCCTGGGGCTGCTGACTCATGAATGAGGTCCATCCCCCAGCTTAGTCGAATGTATGGTGTGTTCCTTTTAAATTGTTCTCGTCTTTCCCCTATTTTGTTTTTGTTTTATCTTTGATTTGTAAGCCGCCCAGAGTCCTACGGGATTGGGTGGCATATAAGTTTATTAAATTACGAATTACTTTTTTTTTTCTTATAATATGACTGTACTGATTTACTTTGGATTGGAACAGTGATTTAGCTAATTATTGCCCATTTAAATTAGACATTCCCTTGATTTTCTTCCTAGAGGTATTTAATTTATATTTATATTCATTTATTTAAATTTATTATAGCTACCCAACTCTGGTGGATTTTGAAGCAATATTCATCCTCACACACAAACACCCTCCATAAAAACAGGAAGTATAAAATGACAAAGATAATCTGGACCTGAATTTATTTTATTGAATATTTATTGACCATACAGGACACACCTAGGTATTTTTTTTAACATAAATGAATTTATATCCAAATAACACCAAGCCAAGAATTCTTTCAAAATCTTATTTGCTAGATATTTTACAAAAATGTGTTTGTTAGATCTTCTGAGCAGCTTCTCTTTTTTTAAAATATGTTTTTGTATCTTTTTAAAGTCTATATCTCTCTTTTTAATTGTCTCTGAATTTTCAGAAGCAAACTACAGCTGTGATTCAAGGTGTAGCAACTATAGTTACTGCATCCATTCCTACATTAGATGAAAATACTGACATCAAAACCCTTTTAGAATGTGCTGTGATATTAAATGGTATGTATTGTGGGTATGATGAATATAGATATGCCTCTGGCAATAGTCCTGGACTGATGTTTATAGTTTTTCCCCCATGGAATTGCATATTTTCTTAAACTACTTTTAATTTATTGAGGTTGTGCTTCAGTGGTGCAATTTAGAATGATTGTATATTCTTCATAAATGCTTAGCTCTTGTTGTTTTGAAGATTCTCATAATAACAAGTAGTAATCTAAAATGTTGACGTAAATACTGAATCTGCTGATGAGTTTATCACTTGAATCTTTGAGTAGGGGCCTGATTTTCAAGCTTAATGTTCCTTTGATTGAATGAGTTTCAGATTGGAAAACATTATGGTTAATTTTTCAGAATCAAGGAGATTTGGTTGGACACCAATCTATCCAGAACTGCATTAATCTTGCATGATGAACCATTTCTTAAGGAATATGTAAATCTAGGCACATTCATTCTAACACTAAAATAACTTTCTAAATATGTTTTTTTACAACAGGCATAGTGAAGTCTCAGATGTTAATGACTATCTAAACATATCTTAATTCTGCTATAACATATGCAAAATGCAGTCCTGATTGATCAATATGCTCAATTAATTCTACGATTTGTTTTTACTTTCACACATACAGATAAACACACACAAACTATTATAGCAATAGCACTTAGATTTATATACCGCTTCACGGGCTTTTACAGCCCTCTCTAAGTGGTTTACAGAGTCAGCCTATTGCCCCCAACAATCTGGGTCCTCATATTGGAAGGATGGGTAAAATGGTATTGGACCTGTGTACTTGAGAGACCGCCTGCTGCCAATTACCTCCCAAAGAACCATCAGATCTCACAGGGTTGGCCTCCTCCGGGTTCCGTC